TCCCTGGACAACCAGACGCCACTGGAGCTACAGTCACCCGCCCGCACCTCGCTCCTCCTTCATGGCCTCATTGCAGATCACAGAGCCATTGTGAAATTGAAGACTTGTGCTCAGATTCAGCTTTCTTGTGGAGGACTCCATTACCTCCCAGGCTCATGATTCTGCACACTTCAGGGCCCTGCTGCGGCGGACAGCGCAGAGGACACCTCTCCCAGCTGCACCTTGCTCCTGAGTGACACCCGGGTGTCCACAAGGGCAGGCCCTGCCCCTGCAGGCTGCATGCTCCCTGGAGAGCCTGCTCCCTGTGGCCATGGGGCATTCATGGTCCCCATACCGACAAGCAGCAAGCAGGAGCTCCAGGTCATCACCCTGACCGTGTTCTTCAGTGGGGCAGGAGAGGCCTCGCCCTGACGCGGGGGCAGAGTTTCAGCATCCAGGGCCCCCCTGCCACCCCAGTTTGCCTGTGGACCACATGGCTCCCGTGGCGGCCTCTCCTCTCCCCTGGTGCCAGCCTAGAGTGCAGGGTGTGTAGGACACCCTTTGACAGAGGACTGCCCCTGCCAGCTGATGGAATGCTCTGATGCTGACAAGGAGCAGGCCGAGACGAGGCCCAGGGCCTGCCAGTCTCAGGGATGGCTGCCCGCACGTGTNCCCAGGGCCTGCCAGTCTCAGGGATGGCTGCCCGTACGTGTGCATGCAGCTGATCCTTAGGCCCATTGCCCTGGCATCTGATGTGCATGTGACTCACAGTAGCCCCGGAGTCCAGCCTGGTGCATGCTTTACCCACTGCACTGTCCTTTTGCCCTTTGGGCTTCCAAAGCAGGCCCCAATTCAAGAGGAGGTTCACACGCCCACAGGCTCAGAGGGCCATGTCTGGTCATCCCTTCCTCTGTGCCAGTGTCCCTGTCGGGGAGGCCCTCGGAGCTTCAGGGAGATGATTCTCTTGGGGGGAGGGGGACCTGGGAGCCCCCAGAGTTGAGGTTGGGCTGTAGGCGGGTGGAGTGTGCCGACCTTTCTGGCCAGCATCCCTGATGGCCCCCAACGCAGTGGGGATTCAGAGCTCCATGTTCAAAGGACTCCAGGAGGCAGTGCAGGACGAGGACTGGTGGTGGGACCCCCAGGCCACACAGGCCTGGGAATGCAGGCGCCCTGCTCCCAGGTGCTTGGCTGCCCAATTTAGTGTCACGTGTCACTCGTCCTGTCCTCCACCTGCCATGTGGGGACCAGCAGATAGAATCACAGGTTGACAGAGCTGTGTCATCTCCATCTGCCTCGTCATTCCCACCCGAGAAACAGAGCCTCCACTCTGTCACCAAAGAGAGAGATTTCATACACTGCCATGCGCCTAGGAAACATTAACCAAAACTGCTGAAAATGGTAAATCAGTGGGTGAAGCTTGTAAAAATGAGACGAGTCAGCCTGCTGCCAGAGCGCCTCCGTTACGTCTAACTGGGGAGCCACTTGCACCCCCCAAGGGCAACACACATTCGTCTTTTTAGGTCAAGTCTGATTTTAATTAACCATCTCAATGAATAAATTCCAGCTTTCAAAAGAGCAGCTGGCCTGCATCTAAAGGCAGCAGATAAGGGTCCCGACCAGGGCTGAGGAAGGGCAGGGCAGGCCCACACCAGGAAGGCGTCTGTTCATAGAGGCATTTCACCAGCATGATACGTCTAGCGAGCAGAGTGGGGTTCCTGACTCCTCGGTACTGGCACAGAAAGTAATGATGCCTTGTGTTCCTAACAGGTCAAAGCAAAAACACTTCACGCACATCTATAAACAGCCAGACTTAATTAGAGCATTTTTATGGAACAAAAATAAACATAAGGCAGTGGGGGAGTGAGGGTCTCTAAAGGGAGGAGATGGAGCCCTGTGGCTGCAGTGGCTCTGGCCCAGAATCCTGAGGACAGCCCCTCCAGAGAGCGCTGCTGAGGAGCGGGGAGCAGCCTGTGGGCCGAGGACCAAGGGGCCTGGCACCTGTGCATGGTTGGAGCTTCTCAGTATACAACACAAGAGTTGAAAAACTAGTTGAATTCCTTAAGGTGTAGCGTGTCACTCTCCTGCATGAAAAGCACACGACATGCCAGCAGTTGTTCACAGGGAAGCATGGAGGGAACAGGCCCAGAGGGGAGCACCAGAGCTGTCCCCGGGGTCCTGGGCGATGAGGCCATGGGTCTCTGCCAGTCTGTCTCCAGTGAACGTGCCAATTGGAAATGCTTTCAAGAGGCAACAGCATTGGCCTGTGGGGGGCACCCTGGTTCCACTGGTGTGAGCCACACCTGCCTGCTCAGCGGCTGAGACCACAGCCCAGGGAGCCGGTGGGGAGGGGCCCTGAGACGGGGGACACAGCGGGCATGAGCTCTGTCCACTGGGACCACTGCACATCTTGGCCGGGGCGGGGGCGTCTCCTTAGTGGAACAGAAGTTACAGCAACTCCTCCTCCATTAGAGACTGGGGACCTACAGGGCGATCCCGTGCTCTCAGCACGGCTGTGAGGAAGGATGGTGCCTCGGCAGGACGCTTGTGGTTTGTGGTCTGCAGCCCTCATGGGGTGGCAGCCTGCAGGGAGGGCTGGATCTGAAGGACCAGCCAGGCTCTACCCCCAGCCTCCTGGGAGACCTCTGGGCCTGCCGTGGCGCAGTACAGAGGGTGCTGACCAGGTCGGCTTGCGCACCCTGAACTGGCTCCTCACAATCTTGACCCCTTTCCAGAATCTCTGAACCAAATCAGAGTTTTTAAAGTTGTCGGCTGGCTGCCAAGTTCTGCCAGACTGAGAAAAACGCACACACTCCAGATGACACCCCAGGATTCCAGCCCACGCTTCCCGTCGGCAGCCCCAGGCCCTCGGGGCACCTGCCCAGACATGCTCCTCATGCTCCACCGCTGTCAGCTCTGCGCAAACGTGGGTGCCTTGCTTACTGTCACCTTCTTTCTGTCTGTCTGCCCTCCCTCCGCCCACAGGGAGCTGCAGGAGGAGAGTGGTCTGACGGTGGACACGCTGCAGAAGGTGGGCCAGATCATGTTCGAGTTCGTGGGTGAGCCTGAGCTCATGGATGTGCACATCTTCTGCACAGACAGTGTCCAGGGGACACCCATGGAGAGCGATGGTGAGCCCGGGTGGGCAGGGGAGTCAGGCCAGAGCTGGGGGCAGCCTGCCTCCCTCTGCCTTCAAGGCAGGCACAAGGAGACGGCGTGCGTTCCCACCCAGGACTGCTTAAGTAACTCCTCCTGAAGCTCAGTTTAAGTCTGGCTGGACATCAGTCCTTCCTTTTCACCCTGCAGAAATGTGCCCTCAATGGTTCCAGCTGGACCAAATCCCCTTCAGCAACATGTGGCCAGATGACAGCTACTGGTTTCCCCTTCTGCTTCAGGGGAAGAAATTCCATGGGTACTTCAAGTTCCAGGGTCCAGACGCCATCCTGGACTACACACTACGTGAGGTGGACAAAGTCTAGGAACCTGCTTGCTCTCTGGCCACGGGAATTGCTGCCCCACAGCGACGACTGGCCCTCTGGGCTGTGGGCAGTTGGAACTTAGGGTTTCTGTTTGCAGAGTGATTGGATGGGAAGGTATAAAATAAATGTCTTTTATGTTTTCACCATTCTCCACAAGCCCAGCACAGCCAGCCCAGTTGCGTCCTCAGGAAGCCACCAGGCATGTGGGCTGTGGCCCACGCCACAGGACAGAGATGGGAGATGCAGACCTGAGGGGCAGAGGGGACAGCTCTTCTGTCCCCATGGCAGACAGCTGGGGAAGTAGGGCTGGGCACTGGCTGGTGCAGCACCACAGGCTCTTGTTGGGATCAGAAGGGTGGGCTGTATGATGGGTCCTCTCATCAAACACCCTGAAAGTTTCCCTTTAAAGGGGAAACAGGCAACATCAGGGCCCAGGGCTAAAATTCCAGTCTAATGAGTCACAGGCTAGTCACCCTCCCTGACCTAGGAGCACCAGGCCACCTTCATCCTGATTTCTGCCTGCCAGGAAGTTACGGGGTCACTACCACTTAGAGAAAGAACACACAATGGTACTATTATCAATAGGTTTAATAGTTTATTGGTAAGAATCCAAGAAGGTAGGTCATTTGTAAACAATTTCAGTTTACTGGGTATAATAACTGATTCCTGCTGCTTATAAAGTGCTTCATACATGAACTGACTTGACTCATGCACAGTGATAGGGAAGCCCTCAGATACTGGCCCATCCTGAACTAAGCCAGACGAGAGGCCCATGTGTCCCCATGCCAGGCTGCCTGATCACATCTTCCCGTAATGAAAACACATCTGTGGGTCTCCACTAAGCAGAATGCAGCGGGGTCCCAGTGAAGGTCTGCTCCCATGGCCAGACCAAAGCAGCACTGGGGACCAGCCTTCCTAGGGCCGGAGGGCCAGGGTTTCTCTGAAAGGCCTTGGGACCGTGGAACAAGATGTCCTTTCAATGGGGCTATAGCAAGGCAGGCTCCCCAGCCAACCAGGAAAGCTGAGCTGCAAAGGTGAGCAGGTCCCCCAGGACAATATCAAGCGCCAAATCCCAGGCCCCATGCCTGGGTACCCACCAGCAGCCCAGATACAGGGCTGACACGGAAGCTTCATGAGAAGATGGCCCTCTGCTGTCCCACTGCAGGCACCAGGGTGAAGGGACCTGCCCTAGGTCACTCCCAGGAAGTCAGCCCAGCAAGCCTCTCTTCCCATCAGCCCCCTACAGTGCCCAGGGCTGGGAGGACACTGAGGGCCAAGCACCCCTCCTGATGAGCCTCCACAAACAAGGAAAGGGCTCCAACCCAGAGTTTCTCATTCCCACCACGGGGCGTGCTACCAGGAATAAGGAATCCATGGCAGAAAGTATGCAAGGCTTGTCCTGGAACTCTGCTCAGCGACCTGTGAGAGCACCCAAATGTGCAGTGGGCACAGCCTCCCGCCTGCCTACCACTGGCCCCACGTGCAAGCTGTGTCCACCCCGCCCAGCCTGCCTGCACATGTCCAACTCCACCATCCTGTGGTCACTCGTCCCTCGCCCCACAGGCAGACCCCTGGTGGTGGAGTGAGCAGCCACCGCCACGGAGACAGGACAGGAGGCCTGGAGGCTGTGCTCTGCCTTGGGACTGTGTCAGGGGCCCAGCTCTGCAGGCAGCACCAATCCTCTAAAAGCAAGGCCCATTTGTACAGAGGGAAGGAGATCAGAAGGCTAAGACAGCCCAGAAACCCGGGCCAGCGGTCCAACAGCCCCCCTTCTCCACACTCAGGGGGACACTAACAGCCTGGGAAGGCGCATCACCGTCACCGTCCTGGGCCCGGGCTGGGGTGGCGTGCAGCATGGCAGACCTTCCCACGTCCCCAGGCTGAAGCCACACGCAATGAGTTCGCAGCCCAGCCGACGCTGCTGTCTGGCCAAACCTGAGACACTTTGCCCTAGACTGAAGTCATGCATCAGCTCATCGGGGATGCCTAACAGTCTCCAGGTGTCCAAATTTATCCCAAGGCCTCCACCTGCCTCTGGGTCCTGTGCGCTGGGTGAGGATATGCATGCGTAAGGTGAAATGTCAGATCTGAGACAAGGAGAAGTCGATTGTGTCAGGCACTCACCCCTGCAAGGCAGGAACCTAAGAATGCCCCGGGTGGCTAGGACCCCCGCCTACCGCCACCGAGGCCTGTGGCACAGTGAACTCAAAGGCAGCCCGAGGGACAGGGAGGCCTGTCTGGCTCCAGGCCTCCATGCGATTACACAAAAGGGATCCTGAACAGGAAACTGCCAGGGCTGGGAACATCATCCCTGCAGAGGGCCAGGAACACAAGCTGGGCTGGCAGTGCACAGGAAGCCTGGGAGGGTTCTGATTGCCCAGTGGAGAGGTCAGTTTAAGAGGGGGTTGGCTGCAGCAAGGCACAGCCCTCCTCTGGAGTCCAGCCAGAACGCTTCTCCCACCCACCCCTCCTCTGCCCTTCCAGCCTCTGTTGTCTCTGTGCAATGAGGAGAGCAGCCCTTCCTGGTTCGCAGAGCAGAAGCAACCAGCCCACCATACCACCGCCAGGCACAAGGCATGGTCACATAACAAGCGTGCACATTTGAGCACGCGTGTGGTGGGACGCAGGACCCTTTACCCTCAAGGCCAGGCCCCAGGGTGCTTGCTCAACTCATTCCTGGAAGTCAACACAACACCCAGCGACCCCCAATGCCAGCCTTCTCTGCTGGCCCCTGCTGCCAGCTCACGTGTGCCTGCACCACCCCTCCGCCCCCAAGCCAGGCCATCTGCTAGCTGCAGCTGGCTGCCCTCTCGCTGACCAGCTACACATGAGACAGCCACCTCCTTGTCCCGTGGCAGCATGCTGCTGCAGAACAGTCCTGCCCTCTCTGCATTTCAACTCCTCTCTCCCTGCTCAGCTAATCCAGACCCTTCCTGACCTTTCTAGCAGGTGAGGCCCCCTGCACACAGCCCCAGGTACCATCTTCTGTGAAAACCTTCCTTGCTGCCCTCCCCCTGGGCATCCGTTCCAGGGAACCTCAGACTAACAGGCAGAGTGCAGGCATCAGGAACCCACCATGGCTGCACAGGCCCTGCGTGGCCTCGGCCTCCATGGACGCTCAGAGACCTGCAGTGGTGTCCTCAGCCCTGCTCCCCACACGGGGAGGAGAGCCATGCCACCTGGCCCCACTCAAGGACATCAGCCCAAGGCTAGGGGCCCAGTGGGGTGGGGGGCAGCCGCTGTCTAAGGGAAGTGAACAGGGACACAGCGTTTCGAAAGAGACTTTAGTGAGGCCCTGGAAGCACTCAGCACTAGTGAGGAGACACACCGTCCTGCAGGGACCTCGGGGGGACGGCGTTGCTGTTCTGTCCCGCGAAGAAGCAAGGCAGCTTGGACCTCAGGTCATTCCACACCTTACTCATCTGTGGGGGCAGAGGGCACAGCGCCCTGTGAGGGCTGGCGCCAGCTCCACAGCCCAATGCACAGCCCTGGGGAATGCCACGTGGGGGCCTCGAGGCTTGCCACCAGGCTCCGGGTGGCCTCCCCGAGAGCCGCCGGATCTGACTGCACCGGCCCTTCCCTCCAAGCTCGGGGGCCCCAGCCTCCACGGCTGAACACCCAGTGAGGCACAGGCCAGACCAGGAGACTGGAGGCTGGTCCCCGTCCCCTGCAGGCATGGCTGAAGGAGCCCGAGTTTGCTCAATGCGGAATGAGTGAGCACTGCTGTGTGGGTCCAGCACATCCTAACAGCTCCGAGGCACTGGCCTTCTGCTCAGCAGGCCAGACACCTGGACAACATCCACCACAAAAACAAAACAAGGTGGAGTAAGACACAGCCACCAGCACTCACAAGCACTCTGGCATCCAGGGTGAGGCCCGTGAGCACGAGGAGCAGAGAGGCTGGGGGTGCCCACGATCAGTGGTGAACAGTGGCCCGCATGACAGCAAAAGCACACTGTGACCCTGGGAACGTGCAGCACACGTCACCCGACCAGGGGACTCACTGCACCACCTGCACCTGAGAAGTCTGGGGCCAGGCTCATGACACCTAAGCCAGGTGGCACCTGCCTCGCCTGGGCGTCCTCCCTTAGTTCTCCCTCACTGAACAGTTTAGTCTGGATCCTGGCCCCCAGATTCTGGCTGAGGAGGTCTGAGGCCTGTACCCCGTGATCCACATGTTGAACAAACACTGCGCATGGTTCGGCACAATAGACCTCAGAGCAGGGTCTAGACTGGCCACCGGCCCTGTCACCACTGCTTCCCACCTGGATTGACAGCCCCCTTCTACCCATTAACTGCCCTCTAAGCCATCGCCAATGACCTTCCTGAACCACAGGTCTGAGGTCATCCTATGCATACAGAAAGCTGCCCGGCCCCCATAAAAAGTGCCAGCATCCTGGACTGTACCCCTGGCCCTGGGCTCTGCACAGGCCTCCATCAGACTGAGAGACACCCAGTCCTCTGGCTGGCTGACCCCTCTAGACCGCCTTCCAAGTCTGTGCAGTCTCTGGTGACGGAACAGCTGTGGTCCAGCTATGTGCCCAGCACAGCCACAGAACCTACCCAGAGTGGCTGCTTGCAGCCCTTTACCCACCAAACCCCCAGGCCAATCTTGGAAAGCTGAGTCACATTTCATGCCATCTTTCAGACATGGCAGCTGGAGCCAGGGGTTAAATGTTTCAGCCAAGGGCATATGAGCACATGACAGTCACAGGGCTGGGATCTGAGACAGGCTTCATGCCCCACCCACCACCAGGTTATCAGGAGCTGGGGCGCCACCAGCAGATGCACCCCTCAGATGACTGTCCTCCCAGTGCCAACAGGAGGCACGAGAGGAGCAGGGCAGAGAGCATTGAGGCACAGGCCACACACAGGCCAGCTCAGGTGTGACCCTGCGGCAGGACCCTTTCTCAAGGACCTCTTCAGCCCTGCAGTTTCTAGGCTGTCTGGAGATGGACACGTGTGAGCAGAGACGTGAGCTAGAGTTACACAGCTCTAAGTAATTCAGAGAGCGTCCCTGCAGCGACAAAGGTCCAGGACAACCAGAACGGCTGCGAAGCCACCTCCAGGGGACGCTGACCGGGCTGTGCCCCACCTCCTCAGACTGCTCCCACCGCCTCCTCTCTCCACTGCTCTCAGTCTCCTGTGTCTACATGCTTCACCGCTGACCTCCAGAACTCCCCCAGGAGACAAGGAGCTGCTCCTTCAGTCTCGCTCTGCTCCCACCGCCTCCCCCAAGAGTCACAGGGACAAGGCTACAGTTGTCACTCACTCCAGTCACAGGTCGAGAGAGTGGGAGCTGCTTTAAGGCCCGGCACTCGCCCCAATCCGCTAACTCTGCTAAGCAGTCCTCCGTGGCAGCCGCGAGGGGAGGCAGACCTGCAGGCAGGGGACCCACCTCCTTGTGCCCTTGGATCTGAGCGTTGACGAAGGCCCCGAGGATGTGGGAGGTGAGGGGCAGGTAGGTGTGCACCAGCTGCATCTCCTGGTGCAGGCAGTACAGGGAGAAGCAGTTCCGCAGCTCCATCGTCTGAATCGCGTTCTCCTGCTGCACAGAAAGCGCCCTTGCACCTGGCCCACTAGAAGGGCAGGAGTGCACAGCGCCTGAGCCGGGGCTCGAGCCTTTCCTGCGTGTAACCACTGAGGCACAGTGCAGCCTACACAGCTCAACCAGAGGTGCCAAGGGAGGAGGGGACCCCCACGGTGGCCTGTGCCCCCGCACTGTGTTGGCCAGCTGTCGCTTACATGTGTGCCACATTCCGGAAGCTCCTCAAGCCAACAGGGACTGGCGGGAAGTCCTGCGGGGGGCCCAGCAGGCCAGAAAGGCTCTGCAAGCCTCCCGCTCGCACCCCCGCACCCTGCCACACACACCTCCACGATGCGGGTCTCCAGCTGCTCCACGGCCTCGGGCTCGCAGCTCTGCACGGCAGCGCGCATCATTTGCCTCTTCATCAGGCTGTACTTGTGCAGGGCCCGCTGGTGCCTGTGTAGCACGCCCTTCTCATGCCGCTCACACAGGTCCTGTGGGAGAGGGGGCGCTTGGTGCCCTCAGCCTCCAGCCTCAGGGACCAGTCAGCAGTGCCACCTCCCTGCAGGAGGGCTGGAATGCAGACGGCGAGGGGGCACCATAGAGGCAACACTAATGCTGGGTGCCCGCCCTCAGAAACTACCCCAAGCAGGCAGGCAGGCCAGGGTCCAGCCACAGGGGGCACAGTGCAAACCAGTGCCACACACAAACCCTGTGCAAAACAGGCTCTGTTTAGTGGTGCCGTGAGCAAGGAGCACGAGCCGCCCCAGGCAGGTGGGAATGGGAACACTGCCCACCAGACCACCCACCAGGGTCACCCCAGCAGCAGGAGGACCACGTGCCTCCAAAGGCAGCAGCACTGGCATTTCCCCAGGGGCCCCAGGAATCATCCCAACTAGAAAGAAATCTTGTGAGAAATACTAGCCCCAGAACCAGGGGCTGAGATGTTCCAGACTACCTGCTACCACAGCACTCAACAAAGAAATTCCCTCTGGAACACTCTGCACAGCACTGAGCTAGCTCTCCCGGAGCTCAGCACGCAGGAGTCACAGGCCCTCCAACTGGCGCACCAGCGGTTAGAAGGCCACCTGCAGCAGTGGAGGTCCGACTGCCCATGGGAAGAGGCAGCTCACTTCTCCAGGCAGCCCCACACGCTTGTCCACGGCCAGGATGCCCCCACACTGACATGACACACACACACCCCTGGACACACTTGCTCAGACACACACACAGCCATGCTCATGTTCACTGTCCTTCTCAGACATACCCAGACACGCTCACAAGGACACACTCATGTTCACTCTTGACTCGCTCAGACATACCCACACACTCTCAGACATGCTCTCATACACATATTCAGGCACGCTCACATGCTGACACACTCATGCACACCCAGATGCTCACACACAGGCTCGCACCCCATCTCCATTCTCAGATCCAGGGAAGCTAGAGGCCCATCTGTCCACCTGTTGGGCCGCACGCAGCCCAGAGTCCACCACAGGGAGCAGAAGGCCCACGGTCCCTCCATGGCCGGCTTCTCAGGTCTTTCTCCACCCCCTGGAGTCACACCCCTCCAAGGTCACAGGACCCTTCTCAAAAGCTCTGTCCCTGACCACAGAGCAGCTGAGACTCACCTTATAGGACTGGAGCAAATCCAAGAAGAGGTTCAGTTTCTCCACCACATTGTTCTCCTCCTGTTTGCCCTGGAAGACGGGGTTTACCCGACACTGAGACCTGGCCAGGCGCCCCCTCACAGGCCAGGAAGACCCTTCCCCAGGCACACACACACCCCTGGAACACACTCAGACATACCCACAGACATGCTCACATTCAGCTCTGCCAGCTCTGCAGAGGCACACCCTTCCCACACGGCAGCCCAGCCAACACCAGGTGAAGAGCAAGGGCCTGAGTCCCATCCACCTGCCCGCTGCACTCACTGTCCAACATCATGTCCTCCCAGCATTCCAAGCCATGTCCCCATCTTCCCAGCATGCACCTTCCCTGCACAATCCTTCCTGGCATGCACGGGAAGAGCGGGCACCTCAAATGCCCTCCCCCAGCAGCTTTTCCATGTGAGCTTTGAGGGATGTTGAGAAAGGGAGTAAATGCGAGGGGAGGCAGGGCGGCCTCAGTGGAAGGAAAAGGAGCCCAGGGCGAGGAGAGGCGGGGGCTTCTGAAGCCTCAAGCTGAGACAAGCAACCAGAGCCAGGTTAGCACTGAGGCTTTCTTCGGCTGATTCGGGCCAGAGAGGCACCCGCTTCTGGCTTCCACGCAGGCCTCCACACCTGGACCACATTTCCAAAGCACAGAGACCCACCCACGGAGGCCTGGAGGGAAGCCCTGGAAGAATGGGTGTCCCTGGTAACAGCAGGGAGCCCGGCATCCTGGGACATGAGTACGACTGAATGCCCTCGGCCTGGGCGTTCGGTCATACTTTGCTCCAAGCACAGACAGGCCACCGTGTGCATGGCCTGCCCAGCACCGATGCTCAGAGAACCAGTTGGATGGGGACACAAGCACTGGGTTGTGGGCCCTGGGACCCCTGGACCCACTGAGCGCAAAGGCTGCAGGTCCCTGAATCGCACACACACAGCCAAGATTCCATCCAGTAAGGTTTCTGGGAAGTAACGGCCTGTCACAAGTTTTTAAAACTTAGGAAAATACCAGGTGGCCACAGGTGCCCTGTTTGTTCCTGATGGAGGGGCACGGGCATGGAGGCTCCCCACCCCCAGTCCACAGCAGGGACTCAGGGGACCCTCCTGGTCATTCCATTTGTCACCAAGTCCCATTTTTGGTCCAACGAGAGATGCTGAACACCAATGCCTGTGCCTTTCCAGGAAGTACACATCCTGTCGCCATGGCCATGACAGCCACCAGGAGTCCCACTTGTGTACCCAGGTCTCCTAACAGGCCAGAAACTGTAAAGCTGAGGACGTGAGTGGGGTTAGGGAACCAGCCCTCGCTGTCCTGGCTGCGTGAGCAGCGAGCGGGGTTAGGGAACCAGCCATTGCTATTCTGGCTGCGAGTGCCACACTGAGACTGCGAATCCAAGTCCTGAGGGGTCGTCTGTCTCCTCCAATTTCCTATTCAAACTCTTAATTTCACTTCAACATGGAAACCACCGAGGACAGTGAGGAATATTCTGGAAATAGTACCTCTCCAGACCTTAAATTTCAGAGCCATATTCATGAGACAGCAGAGAATCCCAGAGCTAGGGGAACTCCAAGCCACAAACGTGTCGCCCACGTGGGAAGCCTGGCCTTCCCTCCCTCCTCAAAGCAGAAACACAGCACCCAAGCCTGACTCAGAAAAGACTGGAAATGACCTCGATCGGGATTCCCCACTCTACACTCCACAAGGCCCCACTGTTGAAGAGGCAGCCATGTGGACCGAGGGCCCTGCTACCAGGGCAGCTTCATTTTTGTTTCACAGACTGAGCTCTGATTAAGGGTCAACAGGTCACATAAAAAGTTTATAACAATCGAGCCCCACCCCTTGCTTTTAATTGGTGGGCGTAACAGACCTGGGGACCAAAGTAACCTGAACAGGGGCCTGAGAGGCCTCAGCAGGCACAGAGCAGGCTGCCCAGAGCTCACCTGCCAGGCCACAATCCCAACACAACGTTCATGGTCCTCCCCACCGTGGACGTGTGGGCGCTTCACAGACCTGGAGATGGACTGGATCCCAGAGACGTGAACCCCGCCCCACACTCAGTTTCGAAAGGAACACACAGGCACCAGGCCTGGAGGAGGAAAACCCAGGACTTCCCATACACGCCACAAGATCGGATTCCCTCCTCAGCATGTGGAGGCGTGCTGGATGCCCAAGCACCCCTCCTCAGGTGCAGAGTCCCCCAGTTCCAAACTCAGCAGGCCTGCTGCTGTCACTGTGGCCTCTGACCTGCTTCTAAGGAGTTCCAGGTCTCAGGTAGGCAGCGAGGCTTTCACAACTACATGGATTTAATTTATTATTTACTAGCAGCCTGAAGACCACTTCCCCAAGAACTAGGCAGCACCTCTCACCCTCCAAGTCATGTAACAGGTTCAGAGCATAAAAACACCCAGACACCCCTGTCCCTTTGGCAGTAAACACTGGTATCTTCAAATTCACCAACGACTACAGGGTGCAGCCTTCCACAAATAGCACCTGTGTGTACAGAAGCATTTCCTAAGGGTATCAGGGGTGAGAGAGGGAGCCTCTTGGGGTGCATGAGCTTAGTTGTTTTTCTGATGAGTTATCAAAGGACCGAGGACAGCAAATGGGGACATCTGGTCCACTCGGATATCCTGGTAAGTCCAGGACACACTTTCAAGGACAGATTGTATCTTCTACTCTCAGCTGAGTCAACTCCCAAGAGTTTTCTTGTCATGAGAACCACCTCGAGTGTGTAAATGGGCAGCCAGAAGAACCAATGGGGATGTGCAGTTCTGGCCCAAGACAGCTCTCCACACACTTAAGACTCAGAGCCGTGAGAAGCGTCTGAGGAGGAGATGCTCCATGTCCAGGCACAGACTGTCCTCTGGGGCGGGTGCCACCAGGACAAACTCACTCACCTGCTGCACAGCCCTGTCAGCGAGCAGTGCAAATTCAACAGACAGGCCCTTCAGCGCCTGCTTAAGGGACTCCCATGTGCTACTGCTGAGAGGGGCCCAGGAGGGGAGCGGGGTTGTGTCAGATCCCAGAGCACTAGGGAAAACAAGACACGGGGAGAGACACTCAAGGCCTTGAATCCCCCAGGGCAGCCTGCACACCTCCCAACCCAGCCCCTTGTGATCAGGTGGGACCTCAGCCCCCCTCCCCAGGTGACTGTGCACACAAGCATGTTGAGAAGGTGGAGTCCCGCCTGGAGGTCTTGCCTCCCCCAGTGCAGAGGAAGCAAGAGCAGCCATGGCGTCCTCTCCCCACTCCGTGGGTCAAATGAATTGCTTAGTCTAATCCAGACAATGGGGACCATGTGCTGTGAGATGCAAGCAAGCACTCGGGTGTGGAGGAATCCACGCTCCTTTGCCTAAATTCTCCACCTTTTTCTTCCAAATATGATCTCCCATTTCCCCAAACTGCTTCTTCCCACTCTGGAGTCAAACAGGCCAGAATGAGGGTCATGATGGCAAACGTACTCTGCTCCAAGCTGCCACCCAAGTCTGACCATCCCTTCCCCCAACCAGCCCCTGCAGAACCGAACAGGGTCCCTGCCTTAATTCCTTCCCAAATATGAGAAGGTCAGCAGCATTGTCGATGGCCCTCGACGCAATCCGCTCAGCCCGATCGCGGAGCTTGTAAAAGCTGTTGTAGATATTTCGAATCAGCTCCCGGCTCACAGCGAACTGAGTCTGGATGTCAGCCGGCAGGAAGTCCTGACAGGTGAGGAGGGAGAGACTGCGTTACCACACGTGGCATGATGTGCTCAGCGAAGGCGAGAAGCCGGAGCTGGAACGCCTCCCTCTGCTGGGCAGGTCAGTGAGCCTGGTCACACAGGAGCCGACCAGCGAGCCCGCTGCCCCTCCTGCAGGGCTGCACTGCACCTCCCTTTTTGCACAAAAAGAAAGAGACATGACATGCACACACTAAGCTGGAAGGTACTGGAGCATAGGACTTAACTGGAGGTCCTGTCAAAAACAGTCAAAACCTTCAAGCTCGAAATGGCCATGAAGTCCTGACTCTCCCAGAAGGCAAAGGCCTTCCATATTCCACACTGATTCCCCAAGAGTAACTTTCTACCAGCTTTCATGTTAACTATCAGTAGTAACTACTATTATTTAATACAATACCCACTAAATATGAACTACACGATACTTAGAAAACAAAGCTTAGGCAATAAAATGAAGGTAACAAAGTCTGTCTTTTATGGAGAAGCAGTTTAAGAAAGAGAAAAAGCTACCAAAGAGCAACCTTAATTCTTTTTGGGAAAAGACAGAACATATTAACTAAACTTTAAAATGAACCAAAGCAACAATCACTCCCCTGACATCCGAAAAGCTGGTGACCAAGTGTTTGTCCAGCTGAATCAGAAAAGGCCTGGGGACTTGGTACGAGCGCCTGGCGGCTCAGTGGCTAAGCAGAGCTCAGACACCCACTGCTGCTTCGAAGCCCAGCCATGGGCACATGGCGCCTCTCTGAGCCTGTTCCACCCCTGGGCCCTGCAGAACACCTACCGTGCCTCAGAACAGCTGAGATGAGGTTTACATGAGGAAACCACGGGATGGAGCTTAGCGCACTCCCCAACACAGAGCAGAGGCAAGCTAAACCTTACTACTTGTTCAAATTGTCACTGCTCTGGTAAGAGCAGAAGTAATAACCAAACTAGAAAAATACCTTGGCCTGCATAGCCAGCTTACAGTTCATGAATTCATCTCCGACACACTGAGCTGACTCCCTTAACTGGTTCTGCACGTCCTGCAAGAGGAAAAGAGAAACAACCCACTTTGAGGGTGTTGGCGTGAGGCCATGTGGTGACTCAGCAGGACAGTCCTCTCTCAGGGAGACACGCCTCCACACCAGCTGCCCCAGGGCACCCCAGGGCAACTCGCTCCTCTGGGGTTTTCTCCCGCTGGCCCTAAGCTTTAAGAGGTCATCCACAGACTGGAAACCTGGCCAATGGCAGTATTGCCACATGTCCAGCTCAGGAGTGGGGCTCTCTAGAAAAACAGTGACTCTACAGAGTACTTCAGACAGAGGTCCACTCATCAGGCACTGTAAGGTCCCCCTCAGGGCACAGACAAAAGCTGAGGCCCCTTGCTCCCTGTGATTAGTTAGACCCACGGCTCTCAGGAGAACCATGGGCAGCCCTGGGGTCCTGATCCCTGCCCTCTGACAGCAGGCCTCGTGGGCAAAGCCAAGTCTTAAGGCCCCTTCAAAGAACTGCAGAAATACAGCAGTGATCCTAACACACAGTTGTTTATGGGTCAAGGAATTCTAGAATCCCAGAAATGCCTTCAAGATCATCTGCCCCAATTCTCTTTCTACCAAAAAAGAAAACAGAGTCGGGAAGTTCTGGGGACTCCACATCTGTGTAAAAGGCAAGGGGCCAGCCACACCCTCCCCACGCCTCGAGCTGGGCATAGCCCCCATCCCACCACATTCCTCTCCTGGCAATAGCGTCCTTGCTCAAAGGAACCTGTCCACCCCCCAGGCGCAGGTCACAGCAAGCATTTCCTCGCTGGGTTGGGGTCCATAAAAGCAGCAGCCTGGGAAATGGTGTTGGGAGAGACACACAGCCCAGGAGAGGGCAAAGGCCCTTCCGCCCTTGGCAGAGGGAGGGGAGCCAGCCTGCCTCCAGCTCCAGGTCTTCCCTGGGCTGGGATGAAGGTGGGAGCTGAGCCCTGGGGTCCCTCCGGCAATGGAGACCAGAACACTTCTCCTCCGGGCCGTGCGTCCCCATGGGGCCTGCATGCTCCACATCCCACAGGAGCGGCCCCAGGCTGACTCCCCTCCAGAAAGGCCCCTGCCGGTGCAGCGTCCTCTCCAACAGGGATCCTGACTCTAATCAAGACTGCAGGATACAGTCTGGGGAAAGCCTGCCACTTAGTTTCCAGCTTCAACCCCGGGGTGTGCGCAGTGACTCCTGGTGCTCATGGGCACCCTCCTCCCCACTGGGCCTAAGTAAACACTGGCTCACATCTGCGGGACCTCTGTGGGCCCTCCCGCACACAGCCCTCTGCAAATGAGCCCCAAGCCCCACAGTGTGGCCCTGAGGATCCACCTCCTCCAGTGGATGCCCCAAATCCTATAACACCCGTCTGAGGACACCTCTTAGAATCATACCCCGCCCCCCACACTCATGAGAGAAACAGAGCTCATGCGTGGCAGCCATGTGTAAAGCAGAGCTAGTCAGGGCACCCAGAGCAGGGAAATGGGACAAGAGGGGACCAAGGACACAAAAGCAGATCAGGAATACAAGCAGAGACACAGGGAGCCAGGGCTTCCTGGGCAATACTCACGGGGCCACTGAAGGACAGAAACAGCCTGAGGGACACGTCCTCTGAGAAGCGGGGGTGCCGGGCCACCAGGTTAATGAAGCGCCTCAGTGCCCTCCTCCGAGCTTCAATGAACTTCCGGTCAGCTAAAAACACAAAGCCCCCAGGGTCAGCGGACAGAGCCCAGTGCATCCAGAGGAACCCCGAGGAGCCCCAATCAGCACCAGACACCAGGCCCAGGGCAGCAGGAGCCAGAGTCCCACCACCACACCCTGCACTCCCCAAGCCCCCGGGTTTGGGGATCTGCCCAGGAAAACCACAGGTCCTCTTTGATTTGATCAATAATACAGCACAGGGGTCAGGTGTACAGGACCCCCACCCCACAAAAATCCATACATAACATTGACTCCCCCAAAAACTCAATACTCAAAGCCTACTGCTGACTTTTCTGGTAGTAAATGATAAAATAGACTAGTACCTACATGTATTTTATGCATTCATGGCACACCATTTTCTCAATTTTTCAGTAAGTCAGGGCTACATGGTTCATTTGAGAGCTTTTTCAAATTGTCACAAATCTCAAAAAAATGTTCCAATACATTTATTGAAAAAAATTCATGTGTAAGTGGATCCAGGCCATTCAAACCTGAGTTGATCAAGAGTCCACTGCTCACAATCCTTGATTTTGATAATCTACATCAAAGACAGCTTCTATGACCCCATTTCTGTCACTTCTTTCCACGAACAGAGGTTCTGCTACACGCGTACATTCACTCAACCCCATGTGCCTACTCACGTCACTTACAGCCCACTCTGTAGCGGGTCCAAGCAGCACCTGCTTTCACTAGGGTTTACTATTTTCACTTCAAGGAGAAAATGGTACCCGAGGGCAGTGACGCCATAAGGACACTTAGATCCAACCACCAACAGGAACAAGCTACAGACAACAGTTGGATGAGGCTCCCTCCCACCTCGACCACAGGCCCTCAAGAGCAGGCCATGTTTCCGTAAGCGCTAGCTCTGAGGACAGGCACCTGACCGCACCATGTCCAGGCCCCACACCAGCCACACGCAATCCACCCAGACACCAGGGATTTAGTGAGCGTCCGCCTTCCTCCCAAATGCTCTCTGGTGTCTACCTCAGCTTCCTGTGGCCTCCTGGATGGGAGGAGGGTCCATTCCAGTGTCACAGGAATAGGAGAAACTACATTCTCAGGTTCTGAGCTGGTCAATGACCAGCGAGAGGCACAAGTATTTATGTGCAGTTCTAAGGGATTTCGGAAGGCTGGCAGCTGGGCCACCATGCTAAGCTCCAGGCCGTCTCCCTGCTCAGGGAAGCTCCTTGAGGGTTGTCAGGAGATGGCAGAATCCACTGCTTGGCTCAGGACACTTGCCTTCTCAGGGAGTTCTATATAGGACTTGCAGCAAAGGCTGTGGGAGGGTAGAGATAAGACCTGAGACCCAGAGGGAGCTCACCTAGCCCCAGGTAACAGCAGGTCAGACAGCAGGAATGGGACGCCATCTGCTGTTTCTTATCTCCTCAAGCTGCAGGTCACATCACCCACCTAGCACCTAGCACTGTCCTCTGCAGGAAGACCACTAGTGCCATGGGGGGCATGCCTGCTAGGCTCACAGCACTGTGCAAGAGCGGGCAAAGCAAGCCGCGCTCCCTATGCCCCACCCAAGGGTCCAGGGCATCCCGGCTACTGCCATCTGGACAGGGGAGCGGGTACCTCCTTTCTCCTTTGCGCACCAGGGCCCTTCATGCACACTAGTTATCAAGCAGAAGGCTCACGCAGGCTGAGGGAACCAGGTGAGGCTGCGCTCCAGTACCAGACCCGGGTGCTGAGCCACAGCCATGGCCTGGCCAGGATGGTCCCACTGCCATCCCCTCCTGCCCATGCAGGGGGTGGTGTCCACCCCGAACCAGGAGCTCAGCACCCTGGGGTGGAACCACACCGCCCCAGGCCCCCAGAACACCCAGCTTTACCTCCCAGCATCCTCTTGGGTGGCAGGGCCGGCACCATGCGGTACGGGAACTTCTGCAGCATCACTTCCTGGAAGACCACGAAGTCATTGTACCGCCTGTACACAGAGGATCTGAAGCGCTGCAGGAAAGAGAGGGGTGCTCAGACTGGGCACCAGAGGCCAGCCCGTGCCACGGTCCCCTCACCTGCTCTCTTCACCCAAACAGAACCCATGGAGGATGTTACCAGATCTTAACCCTCTCTCACCAGGCTTTCACCCGAAGGAGAACCCTTAATGACAGTCAGACAACATCTAAATACCACACAGCCTCACTCCACTCCTGGTATTCTGGACCTTCAGAAGGAGACAAGACTCGACTCTACAGTTTTCCTCCAACCCTTCAAAGGCTGCACATAAAAATAATGCCTTTTTACTTCATTTTAGGTAAAAATGCACACACACCTTCAGATGCTAACACAAGAAGCACTTCTGCACCCCTGCGACAGATCTGACTGTCCAAAGGCAGGCCAGACGCTGAGTCTGGGGTCCGAGACAGAGCAGACACTGAGCTCAAATGAAGCTGCCTGCAAATTCCACCGTAAACCCTCTCGTCAGGGAACCTGCAGCTTCCCAAGGCAGCCTCCCACTCACTAGGGTAACCCAGTCCAGCTCTGACACATGCGCTTATGCGAAAACATGCAGAGCAGGCATCTTTAAAATTAATCCACCATGCTGATCCCTACGTGGTATTACTAAGACAGAGCCACCCTGAAAAGGCAGCACACCATGTGACCCCAGCCACATGGCCTCGGGAAGGACAAAACCAGGGAGACAGTAAGAGCAGAGGTGTGGGGCTGGGGCGGAGGGGTGAACAGGCGGAGCACAGGACTCTAAGGGCACTGAGGCTACTCTGGGGGACGCGGCCCATTGCACATTTGTCCAAACCGCTGACAAGAGTAAGCACAGCGCAAAGGCTCTGTAGCTGCGGTTTTAAACCATGACAGACAGCCTGCAATTCTTAGTGCCCACGGCCCACAGCAAGCAGCCAAGAACTACGGGCAGCCTCCTGGAAGGGGACTAGACTGACACACACTGTCCTGTCCTGCAAACCACACTTGCCACCTGGAGCCCACTTCTATGGGATCTGCATTCTGATCCTCAGGGATTCCCCCACATGACAAAACTACGAGCAGGCCAGCCTTGGTGCTCTGCCCACAACTGTGCTTCCTCAGCAGCGGCCCAGGGCCCAGGGCTGGCAAGGGCGGCCGACTCGCTGCAGGTGCGGCTGGGCCACCACAAGCTGCAGGGTGAGTGTGCCGGGCAGCTGGGCCCACCGCCACCAGGCATGGGGGCGCCTTCAATCCCTGTGGCCATCCTCCCCTCACACCACCCCAGCCCCAGATGTGCCCCTCCCAGCCCCCAACACTGGGTGGTACCTGGCTGGAAACCTCGTATTCCACATGCTTCAGGAAAAGGCCCTTCTTCTCAGGAATAAGCTCCACTTGCACGGTGTCCCTGGCCAACAGCTCCTGCAGGGAACATGAGAGCAGCAGCGGGTCCCCCTGCGGTCCCTGCATCTGAGTTGGCTCTGGGTCCCTCTGCTCGCTGACCTGGGGCAACGGCAAGTCTGGGAAAGAAGGCAAGCACCCAGTAAGAACACAGCTCGGACGGTGGGAGCTCCCGCCAGCTTGCCCTCCTCAGCTCCACTTGAGCTCTGCCACGTCACCCAGCAAACCCCTCTTGCCGGGTGGGTCACTGCCATCAGCTCAGCTGCGGCACCGCAGCTCTGAACCCATCTTCTGCTCCTGACCATTACCATGCCAGGAGGTCCACCACCTGCTCACAAATCAGTAGACACCCACGTTGCTAGACCAAACTGGTATTCAATTTGGGGAGGGAAGAAGAGTGAAATATTCACTAGTTATGTGCCAAAACGAGTCCTCCTTCTCTCTAGAGTCAAGAAAAGGGGCTAAAACAGAACAACTGGCCTTGAAATTTTCTGTAGGTCCCAGGGTACCTACAGCCCACACATGTGGCTCTCCTCTGCCAGAACTGTCATTCCAGTGTGTGAAGAACCTACGTGCTTGTTTAGAGCTAGGATTCCCGGCCCAAAAATCAAAGGCTTCAGCCCTTAAATGTCAGCCTCCTTACAGACACAAGGACACCCAGGTGTCACTCACAAAGCAGAAGATAACAGGGAGGTCCATGCAGACAACTGGAAAACACACAAGGGAGTCACATGAAAGAGTCAGTTTGGTTTCTGTACAGAGAAAGTTCTAAAGAAAAAGTAGTTCTCAGTTAAAAAAAAATAGTTAAGGTATCGCACAGGGAAGAAAGTCTTACTCCAATTAACATTGCTATAAATAAGTACAAGAAAGTATAGGTTTCTTTCTGTTTTCCCCAGATTATAACATGGTTCTATCACTTTTTATTATTTCTTTCTTAAAGTTAACACTTCAGTGCAAGATTCTGGTTTATGTTCTAAACAGAATTAATGACTACATATTTTCATCTGTGAAATTACTCAGCATTTTAGAATGTAAAATTTGGCTGCCTTTAACTGACCTTAAAGCTTAAGAAAAAAAATAAACTAAGGCCTTCGTGTTTATCTGGGAACCCCAGGGGCCTCATAAAACCCCACGCGGAAACTAAACACTGTGTGCCCTACAGCAGTGAGCTCCCAAGTGCAACATATATCCTGGGGTCAAAACAACCCACCAGGAGGCAGAAGGAAGTACTGCAATTGCATTTGTATTTTTTCTCTCATTTTTAATTTATATTCTTGTGGCATTATTAGAGCGTACTTAGGAGTAGCACATGCATGTAAGTTAGTGAAACGTGTACAGGTATGTGGGCATGAGTGTGTATGAGTGAATGAGTGTGTATGTACAGAAGTGTGTACCTATGTGTAAGTGTATACATGTGTGCATGTGGACATAACTATATGTGCGCATGTGGACATAACTATATGTGCATATGAAGGGTCTATGTATTTGTATGTGTATGTGCATATAAGAGTGAATGTGGGTGTGTATATTTACATGAGTATGTATATGCATGTGTGAGTACACATGTATATGAGAAGTGTGTGTGTGTATTGGGAGTCCCCAGTATCTCAATGGCCAAAAATCGTGGAGACCAGAGCTATAGAAGGTACCTGTTCTCCCAATCCATCCCCAGGACCCAGCACTTTTCCATGTAAAAATGGTGATGGCCCTAGAACTGTGTTCATACAGTCTCCTCGGGCCACGGGCATCCTCACCCAGCCCACACACGTGTCCTAAGTGCCCACTGCAGGGAGCAAGATGGTTGCTGAGCTCATTACCTTACAGATCCACTCACAAAGAGCTCTGAATGCCCACCATCGCCAGGCACAATCTATACATACTAAACCCCAGGAGCATAGATGGGACCCACTCTGTGAAGCGCTAATGGCGCCCTGAGATTAGAGGAAGGCGGCCGGGGCCCGGCAGCAAGGGGCCAAGTCCAGGAGGACGGGGCCCTGCTCAGCTGCGTGGGAAGCCTGGCATACAGTAGGGCCTTAAACAATGTTTGCTGAATGACTACCGATATTTATTGTATTTTCAGGAGTGAAAAACAGAGCATCTCTGGGGAAAAGCAAAGTCCGTATCACTAGAGCACAAAATATGCAAAAAAACAGGAAATAATAAAGCCAGAAAGGTAAGGGGGAAGACTGTATCAGAGGAAATATTTGCAAATCATGTGTTTGATGAAGGACTTGTATCTGGATATAAAAAGAACTCTTACAATTCAATGAAAAAAAGAGACAAATTACCCAATCTAAAAATGAGCCAAGGATTTGCAGACTTTTCTCCAGAGATATACCAATGGCCAGTAAGCACCTGAAAATATTAACAGTCACGGAAATGCAAACTGCAGCCACAGTGAGACACCACCCACCGTGACAGTTGGAGCTAAAAAAATCTCAAAAAAAAAAAAAAAAGGCTATAATAAGCATTGACAAGGATGTGGGAAAACACCACATCTGCTGGTAGGTGTGCAAAAGGGGCGGCTGCCCTCAAAAATGGTAGGGCAGTCCAGACCCTCAGAATGTCATCAGCAATTCCAGCCCTAGAATATGCCCCCAAGAAATGAGAGTGTATGTCCACAAAGGCCTGGACGCCACTGTCCGCGGCAGCAGTATTCCTAACAGCCACAGACCAGGAAAACTCACATGCCCACTGGCTGGTGAGTGGACACAAACAAGGGAATAAAGCGTTCCATGCCCTCAGAGAGGGGATGCAACAGTCACGCCACACCACGGACGGATCCTGAGAATACGATGGCCCACATCAGGATGATTCCAACTACACGAAATACCCACAGGAGGTGAACCTACAGGAACAGAGAGCAGATGAGTGCCCACCAGCCCGGGAGGGGCCTGAAGAAATCGGGCATGACCCTGAGGAAAGTGGTGTTTTGGAGGGATGACGAAATGCCATAGGGTTGAGTGTGGTGATGGATGTGCAATTCTGTGACCACGCTAACCACCACCGCATCGTACGCTTCAGAGAGTGAAGTGCAGAGCAGGTAAATGGCATCCCAGTGACCCCTTTAAATGTGAATGGGAGGCGACATCAGTGAGAGTGGAAGAGTGAGGACCACCCCAAACCCTCTCCTCCCAGAAGCAATGCGAACCCTGGTGGAAGCTGTCAAATCAGCCTTTTCAGAGCACTGTAAATGGACCGGTTCGCGGCGATCCAGGGCACATTCACTTATGGATCCACTCACAAACAGCTCTTTGACCAGTAAACATGACTAGAAGCAAGTAGCAAGTAGGTAAGTGAAAATGGGGTAACACTGGAGTAAGAGGGGCCCTCTCCCCAGTGACTGGAATCTGCATAAGAGGAGGAGGATGCCATGCAAAGACCCCTCTGGGGAGGGCAGGCCACATCACAGCAAAGGTGGCCAGGACACGTGGCGGCTACAAGGCAAGCCACCCAAAGCCTGCCAGAAGCTGGCCGAGGTGAGGATGCGCTGTCCCAAGGGTTTCAGAGGGAGTGTGGCCCTGCTGACACCTGATTTCAGGCTCCCGGCCTCCAGACTAGAAGATGATGTTTCTGTTGCTTCGAACTGCCCCACTTGTGGTACTGAGGTCAAGGCAGCCACGGGACATCCACACAACACTTCACAGAATCAGGTCACAGACGTTACTGATCAAACCACAACAATAAACAGCAACACCTTCAGTAGGGAGGAGACTCTGACTTCAAGCATTGCATATTTTATTATTTCAATTGCCCAGTTGAAAACCAAAGTTTGTAAGACATGCAAAGAAACAAAGTATGGCCAAACACGGGGAAAAGCGACTGGCAGAAACTGCCTGAGGAGCACAGGCATTAAAGGAGAGGACAGCTCCCTACCTGAGGCTTAAAATGGCCATTACTGAGGGGAACAGACTTTAACGCAGGCTCTCCTCAAATCCGCCCACCCGACCAGACCGTTCCTTTACCCTTTCTTGGCCAGCAAGAAAGGCTCCCCTTGGCTGCACTGGCCCCCTTGCTGGCCTCAGAGCCTTGGCATAGCTGTCCCCTTCCTCCAGATGCCACCAGACCAACCCTTCATCTCCCTCAGTCTTGGCGCAAGCATCCCTCTCGGGGCCACGTCCCCGTGACAGCTGCACCTGTACCCTCACAGCTCCTCTCACCACAGCCCTCAAGCTCAACACGCCACTCAATCTGTCTGTTAAGCACTGTCCACCTCTGGACACAAGGACACAAATGCCAGGGCAGCAGGCCTGTTGGTCCTGTTCGCAGCTAATAGCCCGAAGACTGAGAACAGAGCCCAGCACCTGGTAAGGGCTCAACAGCCCACGATGATGAATGACGGACTCTGGCACCCCTGAGCAAGGAGGCCACCTTAGGTAACTGAAAACAGTGAGCCCTCTAGGCAGGGCAGCCACCTTGGGCGCTCCCCACTCCCACAGACCTCATCAAGGCCTCCTGGGTAGCCGCAGCAAGACACCAACACTGGTGCCATGGAGAATGGCTGTGGACGGGCTCCACCCCAGGGAGCTCTGAGCAGGGACATCCTGAAACTGGCAGCATCTCCCACCTCTCTGGCAGCCTCTCTGCCAATCTCCGGTGACATCCACCTTTTCCCAGGAGAGTGTAAGGCAAAGACCCAGAGTACATAAAGCTGCAGTGTGCCATCTGGATAACCAACCTATATGGCAAGGGAAGAAAGGTTTTCATCTTCCTGTAATGGTTCAAGTGTTTTTACCTTGAAGCAAAGTACGAATAAACAATTTCCTAAGGTCCGTTCAAGCCCTCTGGTACTTATTACTGAGAATTTCTGAGCTGAATCCTCTCCAAAGCTCAGAACAGTAAAGTGTTTCCTGAGCCTCAAGGAGTCTCATGACCATTCCTATGCCCAGGCCTGGCTTCAATCTCTCTGCCGAGCTCTCCTCAGTCTGTCTCACTCATGGGTTTCTCCCGCCCTGCAGGGAGCTGTGCTCTCCTAGTACTACCTAGCACAGGGGTGGCTCATAGCCCCGGCACCCAAAAACTTTTATGATGGACAACTGGGTTTCCATGCACCAAAGAATGACACCAGACCCCTTCCTCACACCATCCACAACAGTGAATGAAAAGGGATCACAGACCT